AATTCACAATTTAAACCGAATATCTCAAACAATATTCATTTGAATATTTAAAAAAAGGAAAAAATTCGACAAAATAAAAAAAGTATTTTCTCTTCGAATCTGAAAATTACGCATTGAGTTAATTTTTAATAAGAAAAATAATGCACACAATCTGTTTGCTGCAAATCAAGTAGTTTTTTTTTCATTTTTAGAATTACCTTTTTAATACCATATGAAGCACATTGTTCATTTATTAACAACAATAACCATCTATCATATAAAATTGTAAACAATATTCCACTTGTTTTACAACAATAAGATTTTTTAAAATAGTCTTTCAACAATTTTATCTCGAATTTTTCCCCAATAAATGCCTTTTATCAGATCAAAAATGTAGGGAAATAAATGGCCAAAGTATGAAAAAAATATCTAGATTAAAATGCAGTCCCAAACGTTTGAGAGTTTTTTATCTAAAGATTATCCATTTGGGGGATTATCGCGGGATGGCGCCATTTAATTCATGTAACAATTCGAGATAATTCCTCGTAATGTCACCCTAATTAATGAGATAATCAAATAATTAGCGCCGTATGGTTTGCCCGAGTTGAACAGACAATTTTCATTTATTACAGCATTGACTTTCATAATGGCTGATTTTACGCGACATAAATGGTCACAAATAATTGAGACGATTTTGCCAAGGACCTGGTATTTGATTGTTAATTTTCATTGATTCCTCAAATTATTCTTCACCAAAAACAATTACAAGAGGAACAAAATGTAAAATATTAACATCGTTCCTTCAGTACTCATCACTTTCTTTACGTATTCATTCTTTTTGTTTTAAATAAAAAATATTACATTTTTGTAACAGAAAATAAAAACTTGAAAGTGCAATTTGTTGATCATATCTTCAACTCCGGAATAAATCTTGGCGAAATTAAATTCAGATACACAATTATTACAGTTCTTCAAGTGAATACAATAGTGGGAAGGATTATTAAAATGAGAATCCATTCGGACGCGAATTTTACATTTATTAACAGCAATAATTATTCTAAAAGGAAATATATGCCATAGTCCACTTGCTTCCTAGTGAATGATTTGACGAATGCATTTTTCTGTTACAAAAGTATTCCATTCGATTCACATGAAAGAGAATTATCTCCACGCGAATTCTTTGTATTTGCTAAAGTAGAAACTGATATAGATTCTCCACTACAATTTGAAGCAGAATTATGTTCCGAAATTCTATGCAGAATTCAAGCGATTTAACTCCCTGGAAAAGGATGTGGACGTGCATGCATGATACACGGATATGTTTCCTCGATTTTTTTTGACAAGCATTGCCTGAATTCTCTTTTCCTGAGATGCAAAAAAAAAAACGGGAGGATGTGACACATGTATCCATACCTAATTTCACGGTTTGAGTTCGCTGATAAAAACTCACTTTTTCGACATTCCAGACATGTGAGACCCTCAATCTCTTCCATTCCTGTCTTTTCAGTCTTCTTACTCTCTTTCCGGTTCAGGTCTGATATTATTGGGCTATATTTCTCTGAAAAATATGAGTGCGATCTTCTAGCGCAGCAACTGCTCGACCTTTTTCTATTTTACGCATATCTCAGGAAAAATCCGACATTTATTGGTGTCAAAATATTCATGAAGACATTTATCCAGTGAGAATTAATTAATGATTCGAAATTATGGTTGCGTGGGAACGCTTGAATTTTATTCGAGAGGTTTTTTCCAAATAATTCTTTCTCTTAGCGTAGCATATAAAATCAGCTTTTGAAGAATGCTGGATTTATACTGTATCTCTCGCATTAATTACAAAAGAATCTCGTCATTTCCTCATAAATCAGAAGCATATACATATAAAGTAATCATGATAGTGATACCCGCACTCAAAATCTTGGTTAGGTTCAGGTCGCATCTGCTGTTTAATCAGAAAGTGAGATGAGCGGATCAATAACTGATCGGACATGTAACGCTAGTTTTAATCACGTAGTGATCAGGTCTTGATTCGATCTCTGATTTGATCAAGCCAACCTTGTTTAAACCAAAAGATGGAAATTGATAATAATTATTGCTTAGGAGACCTGAAACAATTTCAATTCGGGAAATTGTATCAACACTCAAGTCGTTCAAACAAAAATTCGTTCAAATTATTGTTTGCTATTCAGAATGAATAATTATAAAAATTGTGATTAAAAATAGTTAATTTAGATGAGTTCCAAATTCAAATTAGCCGCCTCAGATGACTGAACCAATGAGCAATAAGCGTGACAGACTTTCGAGATATCGATAGTCTCGATGTTTGTCCTTTTTAGAATAGACGAAGATAGATAGATAGAGAATATACTCTATATATAGGCTATATAGTATATATATATTAAAATTAAACCATTTAATTATTTTATAATATATAATATATTATATATTACGCAGCAGTTTTTCTAAACATTCTAT